TATACACGCACCCACCACCAAGGTCAGGCCGCCCGCCAGCCACAAGGCAAGAGCGAGACGAAAACACAAACGCCCCGACACGATATAAGTAGTGGGGGGAGGTGGAATCTGAGAGAGACCAAATCGTCGACGGGAAGCAGCAGCAGCCATGGCGACGCAGGCCGCCTTCGCAGTGAGATTCCCGCAGCTGGCGCGGCCGAGCAGGGGCCATGGTCAGGGACAGCCGGCGCGGGTGGGGGTCGCGGTGAGGGGCGGCAGGGCGGCGGCGCGCGGGGTGCGGTGCCGGGCCGGCGGCCTGATCGAGCCGGACGGGGGCAGGCTGGTGGAGCTGGTGGCGCCCGAGGAGGGCGGCCGGCGGGCGGCGCTGCGCCGGGAGGCGGCGGCGCTGCCGCACCGCGTGCGCCTGGGCCGCGTGGACACCGAGTGGCTGCACGTGCTCAGCGAGGGCTGGGCCAGCCCGCTGCGCGGCTTCATGCGCGAGACCGAGTTCCTCCAAGCACTTCATTTCAACGCCGTCCGCGGCGCCGATGGCACCCTCGTCAACATGTCCGTGCCCATCGTCCTCGCCCTCGACGACGCCCAGCGCCGCGCCATCCAGGCCGACGGCGCCACCGCCGTCGCGCTCGTCGACGCCCACGACCGCCCCGTCGCCGTGCTCAGCGAGTGAGAACACAACACATCCCCTTCCTTCTCTATCTCTTTTTTCCCCCTCTCTCCGATTCATGTCTGCCAATCCTTTCTTTCTCACATGCCCCCGTATGTGCAATTACGCATTGGTAGGTCACGACTGAATGTAGCTGCCAATTTTAAGATACGAGTAGAATTTATTACGATGTTCTGGTAGGAATTGGGGGCTTGTGTTGTGACCTTATTTAGGCTCCTGCTGACAATGGTGGTTTCTTCAACCTGAAACATATGGTTTGCACATTTCAATAGCTACATAGCTTATCTTCATACACAATTCTAGGTCTTATGTGAACTTAGTGTAAGTATATATTTCTTTTGCCAAGAATGCGGGCGCAATTTTCTACCTCAAGTGGTTATTTGACAGTCAAACTAAATTTGTAACAGTTTCTGCTTTTGTGGAATGGGGCTATGATAGTGAGGACTTCACTCATACTTTTAACAGTATATTTGTATATGTTGACAGACTTCAGATATCCGTGGTATTCCAATCATGCATCCTCCAATAGATGATTAGTAAAGTCGACAATACATTTGGTCGTAGTCAACTTGGTAATACCGTTGGTCGTAGTAAACTTGGTAATATCTTCGGTCGTATTAAACTTGACAATACCTTCAGGCATATTAAATTACATATCTTATCGTATCGTTTCCTTGAATAGATACCGTTTTGTCGTTTTTTTGCCGCCATTCCTAGTACTTTAGGACGTGCGATGCCTCGTACTTACATCACCGTGATTCTCTTGTATTTGCCATTTAAGTATAGACTTCTTTTAAACATTGAATGCTAAAAATGAAAATGATGCTGGCCAAGAAATGTAGTCACCTGATAACTAAAGTGACATAATGACATCGACGTAAGACGCCGCTATCTGTTGACGGAATCTCTAGTCTTGAGAAGATGTTACACATGGCTTCCAACGTGTTGGAAACAAGCATAGCCTATTTATATGATAAGGAGTGTGGTTTTCTTTTACTGTACTTAATGCTCTACAACTGCAACTCATTTTTAACACTCGCCCCTTCTTTCTTCAGTATTGAGATCTACAAGCATAACAAGGAAGAAAGAATCGCACGGACTTGGGGAACAACTGCACGCGGACTGCCGTACGTAGAGGAGGCCATTACAAATGCTGGTGATTGGCTGATTGGTGGAGACCTGGAGGTTATAGAACCAATCAAGTATAATGATGGTCTGGATCAGTATCGTTTGTCTCCATCACAGCTGCGTGAAGAATTTGCCAGGCGCAATGCAGATGCAGTATTTGCTTTTCAACTTCGTAACCCTGTGCACAATGGGCATGCGCTGCTCATGACTGATACACGGAGGCGCCTTCTTGAGATGGGCTACAAAAACCCTGTTCTTCTTCTCCATCCACTGGGAGGATTCACAAAGGCAGATGACGTGCCTCTTAGTGTGAGAATGAAGCAGCATGAGAAGGTATTGCGTTATAATGATCCTACCGTCCTTTTTCTAAAGAAAAAAAAGACTCCTAGTACTCCCTCCGTCCCAAAATAAGTGTCTCAACTTAAGTACAACTTGGTACTAAAGTTAGTACAAAGTTGAGACACTTATTTTGGGATGGAGGGAGTATGTCATAGAAACTTACGGTGAAAACTTTTATTTGATTACACTAGGATAGACACATTAAAAAGGATAATTCCTGCATTGTTGTGACGTTTCTTCTTCATTTTGCCAGGTTCTTGAGGAAGGTGTCCTAAACCCAGAATCAACTGTGGTTGCAATCTTCCCTTCACCAATGCATTATGCTGGGCCAACTGAGGTGCAGTGGCATGCCAAGGCTCGTATTAATGCTGGTGCAAACTTCTATATTGTCGGAAGGGATCCTGCTGGTATGGGCCACCCGACCGAAAAGAGGGACCTTTATGATGCTGATCACGGGAAAAAAGTACTGAGTATGGCTCCTGGGCTTGAGAGGCTCAATATCCTTCCTTTCAAGGTGGGTAATCCTTCCAGACCAGACACCTCATTCTGATCTTGACACAAACGACTGTTATTCAATTTTGAAATAGAATATCCTTGACATATTTTGGTTTCTTGACCTGTCTTCTGATTCTTATTTTGGATCAGGTTGCTGCGTATGACACAAAACATAACAAGATGAATTTCTTTGATCCATCAAGGAAAGAAGACTTCCTGTTCATCTCTGGCACAAAGGTAATTCATTTCGGTGTCGTTGGCACATCATTAACTTTGGCACCAACATTTTGTTAGCCATGCCCTGACACCCTTGCCTCTGTAAACAGATGCGCAGCCTTGCCAAGAACCGTGAGAGCCCACCAGATGGTTTTATGTGCCCTGGTGGCTGGAAGGTCCTCGTTGAGTACTACGACAGCTTGGCACCGCCAGAAGGCAGCAGCAAACTGCGAGAGGCAGTTGCAGCGTAGAAGCTGAAAGACGCTTCGGATAAGTAATATCGTTGTATCACGTGTCATGAACCGATGATATATGATTGTGTATTGGTGGTAAGACTTGACATTTGGGCATGATCCCCAGCACTCCCCGTGTGGTTTGTACTGCTTACTAGTATATCTGCTAGCAGTGTTGCCCCCTGGAGCCCATCATGTGCTTGTGGTGCCAATAAGGATGGGTTTTGTATTCTCTTCGGATTTGTACATAACGACATATAATAGTGTGGTGGTAATTTATCTAGTGCTTGATGTGCTTGCTAAGATCTCTTCTTAGGTTTGATATTGAAATTTCTTCATGACTTTAGTTCCATGGTGTTATATTTTTCACTGGAGCACATGATATACATATAGATCATGGCAAAATGAAAAGGATACATTCAAGCGTAAGTGATGAAATTGACATGAGAGATTATTTTAGGGACTGACTGAGTTAGAAAATACAGTTGAGTTTGTGTGTACCGTTGGATGATCCATTTTTGTGTTCCTCATTCTGCTGCTTCTTTCTCAAGCCACCACCGCAGGCTAGGCAGAAGTAGTGGTTCTCCTTGGAGGAGGGCTTTTTGTCCCTTTAATCCGAAACGGACATATAGGGGAAGAGTAGGGGATGCTCTTGGAGATGCCCTAACTCCAGCATAGTCTGCCTGCCATTCATC